CTGCAGCTGTGCTCTCTGTCAGCGATTGCCACCGATCGCCGGGACATAGCCGGTAACGACCAGCTGTGACCCGGCGACTGACATCCGCGGCTGTGATCGGCGGGACAGGTAGGGCAGCGGCGCGCCTCGCGCGCGCCAGCCCCTACCTGTTTACAAAACACACGTTTTAAAACGTGCTTTTGCCCAGCCGTGCCGCCCTGCCGCCGTATTTATACAGTGGCTGGGCGGCATGTGGTTAATATCACTTTATAGCCTAAGTTTAGGCAAAATGAACGAAAAAAAAAAAAACAGCACACAGGATGGCACTTACATTTAAGAAGAAGTGACCTTTGAACTAATGTCTGCTTATCTTGTTTAAATCTCCCATCCTTTGCCCCCCCCCCCCCCTTATCTCTGCAGTGGTAATCTTCTGGTGCTGCAGGGGTTAATACAGCCACTGAGCCTGTCATGGACACTGGACAAGAGTGCTTACTATACCCACCCCTCCTCCATAGTGGCGTATTTACCACAAGGTAAACAAGGAAATTTCCTAGGGTGGCATTTTTCAGGGGGGCAGCACCTTCCCCCAGAAGAAGGGATGAAAGAAGGGATAAATGCGCCATGGGAACCAGGTGGGATCTGAGAGAGGCTGCGGGCTGCTTGATGGTGTATGTAGAGCCTGACTCTCATTCCTGGGGATGTCCTGAGATGTAGATGAGTGTTTTTCTCTCTATCGTTGGGGGGGGTAGTGGAAGGCTCTCCCAGGTGGGGGTGTTGTTGGTCAATGTCAGGCTCTCTCCACGGGAGTTAGAAGTGGGGGGGGGTTGGTGTTGGTCGGTGTCCATGGGGGCAGGCGATTTTTGTGTTGCCTAGGGCAGCACAAAACCTAAATACACCAATGCTTCTGCCCCCCTCTTCTATTCACAGAAGCTATACCAGAGCTTCCATAAAAGAAAATAGTTTCCATTCATCAACCTATCTTCCATTCTCAGAGCACTAAAGGGCCAGTTCACACCAGAATCGCACAAGAACACAGTCCACGTATATACCATAATTCTTAATGAACTTGTTTAAATGTCCTGGAGTTCAGCTTTAATATTTGTGCCTTAAATAGGAAACACAACACACAGTGCCAGTTTCCAAGTCGAACTTATTGATTTCAAAGTAATTCACTTTAATTGGATGCCAAGCTACTTTAAATGTTGCTATGTTAATATTTTTTTTGAAGCAAATTTACTTTACACACATCCGCTAAAGAGCCTATCTTATTTAATGCATTTGCAGTTGGTTAGTGTACCATCTTTGAGGCATTCATAATAGACTGTGCCAAGTGAACACTGCAATATTGATATCTACTTTATTAAATTATATTGATCACGAGCTGGTCACACAGCAGGGATTCCAAAAAATAAATCTATCGTAAAGTTCTATTCTGTGTTTTTTTAATGTTAAACAACAGCTATTAGGACTAGAAAAAAACATTAGTACGTCTCTTTTTATTTACATTTAATTTAATCCAGTCTTACGTGAAAGTGATTATAATAAACTGGGAAAGGACATTTTTAAAAAGCAGAGCCCAAGCGAGTAAAACAGACCCTGAGTAATGAGAGACAAGGAATGTGGTGAACACTTGGACTGTTTTTGTGCTAAATTAGGCCACCACAATTAATCCTTTTTGCTGACAGAGAGCCCTCAGGAGCATTGCAGCTTCTTCAGTGCTAAAATGGAGTAAAATATTTACATTAGTGAGACTAGAAAATGAAGACAAACATACATAGATTACATAAAGCGATAAAAAGAACCACGTGGACAAATTATACTCAACAACGGAAACCGTTCGGGGAAATGCCGATAGAAATTGTAGGAATGGATTACAGTATGGTTATGCAATTTATAATGCACAAAGTGGTATTAAACCAAACATTTATTATATTGCAGCTTACCCAATTCTTAGATGTGATGGCTGCATTAGTTTTCTTTTTAGGCTTTCTATCCTCTATTTTCATCTGGTGATCCAGCCAGCAAGTCTGTTGTTTTACAGAAGCACAAACTCTCCAGCAGAATGAATCAGTTTACATGGATGAAAGAACCCACTTGACACTGAAAGGAGTGATTAAAATAATATCATCTTTTATCTATTCATATTCATCGCTTATGATTGCGGTGGCCCATTCAAGGCTTTAAAAGGTTTACAACCACTTTAAAGTACAGCTCCACCCAAAAGGGGAAATTCCGCTTTAAGCCTTTGTCCCCCGCTCCCCATTAAAGATTGGCACCTTTTGGGAGAGGGGGGGGGAGTGGGTACCTGAACGTAACAGGGACTGCTCTAACGTCCACTGCGATTGCCTAGGAGATCAGAAGCGGAAGTTGTCCTCTCACCTCTCCTTCCCCGTAGTCTTCTGGGACATGTGACAGGTCCCAGAAAACTACGGGGCCATTCACAAAGCGCAGAGCTTCTCGAGCAATTCGCAGTGTGAGCACCCGGCTGTGAAGCCGCAAGCTGTCACAGCCGGGTGCCCACACTGAAGATGCTGCGCTGGGGAGAGAAGACGGCCAGTGAAACCAGCCCGTAATGAGGACACCGCTGGAACCGAGGGGACAGGTGTCTGTATTTTAAAAGTCAGCAGCTACAGTTTTTGCAGCTCCTGACTTTTATTTTTTTTTAAGGTGAAACTCCGCTTTAACCTCCCTGGCGGTATTCCCGAGTGTAGCTCGGGGTAAAATTTCAGTACCAAAAAGCGGTATCCCCGAGCTACACTCAGGCTTACCATGCGGCGTTGCTCAGGGATTCCCTGCAGCGCTTACCTTGTCCTTCACTCCCGCGATGCATCCCCCTGCAGCGTCACCGGCCATCGCGTCCGGCTGATGCCGGCATCCGGGCTTCCGTTGTTCCGGTCCCTGCGAGCGTCAGGATGTACGGGACATATAGGGTCTGGAACCGGCGCCAAATTTAAAAATTTTAGAAACTTTTATAATAAAAACTAATATGACATAGTAAAACATTACTGTTTCAAAGCATTTTACATACATTTTTGTCCCTAGTGCTTTGTGTCCTGTGACTTGCCTGCATTTTGACTGTTCTTTCTGCCTGGAAACTTAGAAAAGTCCATGGCGTCCAAAAAGCGTCACTTTAGGTCAAAAGCGGTTTTAGACCAGATAGAGAACAGCGATAGTAAATCAGAACCACTTGCAGAATTGAGTGATAATGATTCGTCGGGAAATTCGTCATCAGACACTGAAAACGATTCTGTGACTGCTCAGCGATGTGCAAACTTGGTGCTATATTTTCAAATTTCAGTGTTTTTGGTTTGATTATATTATTGAATTAAATTTATTATTATTATATTATTATTTTTTGTGATTATTTATTAAATTATAATTTATGTTTTCGTGTTTCAAGTTTTATCATACCCGGAATGTTTACTAGACTCTTGTTCGGGGAGGTGACAGATTTCAGTGAGTTATTCCTAAAAATTTACAGGCCTACAATATAAAAACGCCAAATTTCCATGCAAAATGATGGTTACCGCTTTCAGCACCAAAAATCTGAAATAATCATACTGCCAGGGAAGGTTAAATATACTAACATTCCAAAATTAAATGCTGGGTTTTTTTGGTACATAGAATACATTTATTTAACAGTCTATAAATATAGTGATCAGTATAATACTTAAAAGAGAAGTATGGGAAAAGTTATTTTTTTAAAAATCATACTTACCTAGTTGGATGCAGCATTGGTCTGATGCTGCATCTATTCCCTGCCGGCTCTAAGGGTGAGAACTCAGCGATCACATGATGAGTTTTCTCACTACCGCTGTGAGAGCAGAGTCCACCGCTGTGTCAGTCACTGCTGTCTGCTCTGCACCCCCTCCCACATGCTCACTGAAGCGCTGGGCTGGCTCAGGCTCTCAGCAGATTGCTGAGAGCCTGAGGCAGGTGCCACTCCAGACTCTGGGGTGGATCTTGACATTAAAATCGGGATCTTTCCCGAGCCTGGATCGGCTGATTGACCTGGAACGGCCTGCTGTCAGTGAAAATGGGTCATAGGAGTACAGAACGAACTGCACTCCTGTGATCCACAGAATTGCAGCCAAAAGAGCTTTGGCTGTACTTCTCCTTTAACAATGAGTTGGCAGCAACAACAGCCTATTGATAATTGCTTTATATAGAACTATCCCAGGAAATAAAGCAAAACTCCGGTACGCATAGCGCAATAATGGATAATATTTAGCCAGTTACGTGGTTCATATTTCTTTATCACACACCGCAGCCAGTACAAAGACTTAACCATTTCCTAGTCCATTTACAGATGTGATAAATGTTTACTGTTATAGACAGCTGGTGGTGTAGATCTATTATTTCTTCAAGCAGGCTGGATGTGAGCAGTAACACTGCAACCTGAAAAACTAAAACAAGAAATACTAGCAATAGTAGTGTCACCTATCCGGCACAGCTTATTACTAGAGATGAGCGAATTATTCAAAAATTCGGTTCGGCTGATTCGCCGAATTCGCGGAATAAATTCGCTTCGAGCCGAATATATTCGCTGCGAATTTAACTTATAAAAAGGGTGTTTCTAGGCTTCAGAGAGCCTTTATATTAGTGCAGAACACTGTACCTTTAATTTAAATGCCCTTGGAGTCTGCTGGGGAAGAGAAATAATACTGTCAGTCAGTATGACATGCAGATGAGTGCCGTCGATCTAGAATCAACCGCACACTTCACTCATTTGGGCAGTCACGGGGCCAAAACCAGAGTGTGGAGCCACAGTGTGGCAGTGGAGGCAGCAGCAATGGGATGCCATACAGCACCCTATGACAAAATGGAACCCACCAGCAGTGTGAGGAGACCTGAAAGTGGCACATGGCAGAGTGTGGCGATGGAGACAGCAGCAATGGGAGGCCGTACAGGGACCCATGACACACTCTGGACCTGGCAGCAGCATGAGGAGGCGGTACAGGGGCCCATGACAGAGGAGTCGGTACGGGGGCCCATGGCAGATTACGGGCCTGGCAGCAGCATGAGGAGGCGGGTACAGGGGCCCATGGCAGAGTGGCGGAGCGTAAGCAGCTAAAATTGAAGGCCATACAGAGGGCCTATGTTAAAAAAGTCCCCCCAGCACGCAGCGTGGGGAGACGACTATCAAGAGTCCAATGGCAGAGTGGCGGAGCAGAAGCAGCTTCAATTGTAGGCACATACACAGCCTAGTGTAAAAGTCCCTCACAGTTAATTCCAATAACGAACATCTACTCCTCCGTGCAATCTACTACGAGACCTGGGCAGGTCTGGGTCCAATTTGTGTAGAGACTGGTTTTGTTCAGCACATGCTTGAGCGAGTAATAACAGGTCTGTGCTGCCCTTTGGTGTCCCTGGACTTAATGCGCACAACACTGAACGTCCCCAGCGTTTGTCACGTTTTGGCCGTTAAGTTGCAAACCCCAAACCCACGTTCATGGGGGCCGGGTACAGGGGGCCAGAATCAGTATGGACCTGGCAGAGCGTAAACAGACGACAGAGGCCTGCGCAGGGTGGGGGTGAGCAGCTTATCTAAAGCCATACACGGGGCCTGGGTTAAAAAGCGGAACCCCGTCAGCAGCTGAGCAGAACGAGACACAGGGCAGGGGGGCGGTGGAGCAGCATATTGGGAACCCAAACACGGCCTGGGTAAAAAAGGGGAAAGCCGTCAGCACGTGAGCAGAGACAGGGCACAGGGCGAGGGTGGCGGTGGAGGCAGCAGCATGGAAGGCCATACAGCACCCTATCACAAAAGGAAACCCCACCAACAGTGTAAGGACCTGAAAGTGGCCATGGCAGGTTGGCGATAAATCGAGCAGGGGAGGCCGTACAGGGACCCAGCACCTTGGACCGGGCCCCGCAGAAAGGGGGGGGGGGACGGGGGGCCCAGGGCAATGGCGAAGGGGAGCAGTTAAATTGGGGGCCATAAGGGGCCTATTTTAAAAAAATAATAACATGTTTGGGGCATGATTCAGGCGATTTATCATTGTGTCAGGAAGGTGGTTTAAATCCAGACTAATCCACCCTGATTCTTTTCACAAAGGGTCCTCCACACTTTGGGTGGCAGTCTTTTGGGTTTCAATACCTCCTGCCGGCCCTAAACACGCGCCCATGCCCCGCTATGGCCGGCAGACAGCCTTTCAAGGGAAATTCAGCAGTTTTGGGGGAAAAAGGGCAATTCTTGCCCGTAGTCAAGGGGGTTTCACCCCCGGGGTTGGGAGGGTCTTCCAAGGAGGGCCCCAGCCCGTTGTTTTAGGTCCTGCTCCAGGTCCACCTGTCTGCTGCTGCTGCGGCTGGTTTTGTAGTTTCCTCACTGCCTGGGAAGAAAGCTACTCACATCGACTGCAGACGAGGCGCCCTGCTGGTAGTGCCACTGCTCCTACCACCCCACCCCCCCCCTGCTCCATGGCAGCGGAACGCGAGCGCACAGGGGCCCCCAGTGTCGAGGAGGACGTTGGGGGCAGAAAGGCAGAGACCAACACTACTAGGGGGTTTTTATAGACTTTATTTTTGGCCCCCTTCAGCAGGTGTGAAAAAGGCCCCTTTTTGAACGGTAGCGAGGGGCAACAAGGGGGACAGCCAAAAGTCATCCCTCTGTCTGATGGTTATTATTCGGGGCGCACGCAACAACCACATGCTATGGGGCCATTTGTGCCAAGGAAGCGAGGGACTCCCTGCCTCCCCTCCACCATACTGCCACGTGCTCTGGGTCCTCTGTTCCCCCCCTCCCCACAGAGCTCCTGCTCCCCACTCCTTCCGCTGAGGGAAAACCACCCCTTTTACCAATAATTTCCCGAGCACAATGTCCCCTCACCTCCTCCTCTTTTTCCTTCCTGCCCCCCCCAGGTCATTGGGTTTAGATCTGTGCCCACGTCTACCGCACCCCGACCAGCCTTTTTTAACACTTTGTTCCGGAGTCAACAGAGGAATGACCGGGTTCATCCCCCTAGGCCTGCCCACTCACGAATAGCGGGTTG